CAAACTGTCGTAACTGCAGTTTATACTCGTTCATCTCGGGGCTATCTGCATAGCCCAACTCTGAATCATCATGTACTACCACTGCTGCTTGGACCACACAAAGAGAGTGTGAACGAGAGAGAGTTAGAGAAAGAATGCTAATGATACTTCAGTGGTGCTCACAAACAGTACAAATACAACATATAAATTAGTTAGCACATTCAAAAATGTATCTGTGATTTTAATTGAAAATTGGAGTTTTTATTGGGCAGCATAGCCATTTCAGCGCACGCCCAAATTCAGAGAGTCATGAGAGTCAAACCCCAGGAAATCCTGACAATGACTGACTGACCTGAATATGCACCTTATACTAGTTTCTCTCTTTAGTCAATTTGCATTTTTGATCTGAGAAAAACAAACCAAACAAAACAAAACAGCATGTTCTTGTTGTAACTTTACCTTCTTTTTGTACTGCATTTGGATTTGCAGAGCTGGTGGTGTTCAATTCCTTAGGATCTTCTGAAAATAAAAAAGAATGTAATAAAAATTATACTGATTGAATGGTATATGTTCAAGGGTAGTATATAAAAAAAAACCAAAACCAGCACCATGAGCTTCTCCCATAACTGTCTTCATATTTGATTGCCCCTCTGATTCTTGCTCCTCTTGGTTTCTAAAATGGAGAGAATTAAGGCACAAAAACAAAAGTTGCAACAAAAATCTAACTCAGAAACATACAAAGAAAAAAAATTCACAACATCATTTCATGTGCACTTACGAGAGCTCTATCGCCTGAGACTGTTCATCCTCTAACTTCTTTACAGTGTTCTTTACACTTTCTTTATTCATCTCATAAAGTCTTCTCAAAACTGCTCAATGAAAAAATGTATTAATGGAAATGTAAAAAGCACCAAAGTGTATGCGTAAACACTGAAGGGCATTTCAAACCAAATTGTTGCAAATTATAAATGCAAATTTATATGTTTAATCTTTTCTATTTGTGCCTCATACCCTGGTGTCCATCGCTGTCTGTGAGACAGAAGAAGACCTCTGGCAGAAGTCCAGCTTGCTGTAAGGCATCCATCTGGGAAAGGTTCTTGGGAAAGTTGTCAAGCACCCACCCAGTCTTGCCCTCCACCTCTTCAATCTATAACATCAAACTTTTTATCAGGTAAGTTATATTTACTTTATGCATGTGTCTGTCTAAGTGTCGTGTCCCTGTATGCGTGATTTAGTGTTGGGTGTTGTGCGATGTAAGTCAATGATTTTATACAAATAAAAAAAATCTAACAATGCCAAACAAAGTTGCAGAAAAATCCTGTTGTGTGTCATTAATCATTCAAATATATGAACGTGTATGCATGCTAACTGCTTAAGACTGGGAAGTCGGTGTAAATCTCCCACCTGGGTTTAAATCTTTAACGTACCTCTTTTATACGCTTCTCTAGGATCTCAGCATACAAGCCAAAATAAGTAGTACTCGATTGCTTTGCTTGCTGCACAGCACTGAGTACCATGGCTTGCACCAGTGGATGATCCTCTGTCACTTAAAAACAACAGAACAAATAAGATCCTCTTTCATACAAATATACTGTTGTTCAGTATGCTTCAAAATGTTAGAACAACATAACACAACAACAACCAGAATATTGTTTAATTATGTCCTGATATGTTAAACCATGAAACTGAAAGAGGGTGCACTTTCCTTTTCACATATCTATGATACATATGGTTTATAAGAAAGTATTTTCACATCTTACCTTCACATTAATTCTGTGTATGACATTATCAGTCACTTGTTCAGCAATAGGTACAAATATTGCTTTATATCATACAGTTTGTTGGAGGACTATTACATACATATATATAGAAGCTACACTCTTAATAGTATATAGTGCTCAGACAAGTTATTATGCCATGGTACATGGCATTACTGTTATTGCAAAAACATATTATTGTCAGTCACAGTTTATCAAATGTAATTCTACATGTGATTATAGAAAAAAAAAATACCAACAAAGTTCAGCTTACCTGAATTTTGTCCATCTTCCTTCATCTTCATTTTGATTTTGTCTATAGCAGCCTGTGTTGTCTCCTCTTTAATTTTATTAATCCTCTCCTCTTTAGCCTTGACCAAAACTGGCTGCAACAGTTCCTCCATGTCAATTACCGCTGTGTTATAGTGCTGAGCTAGAAGTTTACATAAGGTGGTCTTCCCTGCAAGGGAAGGCCCAATGATTGAAATCTTGCAGGGTAACCTCGGCATTGGAGGTAACAGGTAAGGGCGAGGGTTTGTGACAAATTTATGGTGTGCCTCCGCTGACGAAAGGATGTACAGTTTGTCCTGGAATCTGTACAATGAATGAGAGTTGTTTAACATTTTCACATAGCTACTCAATAGAATCCTCATCTGGAAACAGTTTTTAAAAGACTGCTCACCCCACACTAAATTGTGGCTTGCCAGGAATGACCTTGCCCTCTTTCAAAGCAACAGGGCAAGTTCTGCCCCAGCGGCTCCTTCTCCACCTAAAGCCAGGGACCATAATCCTGTAAGAGGACATAATTCTCAGTAGGTCCTCCTGAAAAAGATATGGTTTCAATATTAAAGCAAGTCCAGTCTTAATTCTTAGGATCAGGATTATTGGGATGGTTGTAGTACACATGTTATTCAAAATACAAGTATTTTGTACATGTTCCCATTCACTGATTGTGTTTTGAAATAAAATGTGAAGACTTCCAGACCGTGCTAACGTCCTCTGGCATTTCCTCATCCTCAGTCTGGTGGAGGAGGACTGGAACGGGGACGCGATTTATAGCCAAAGTTTCGAGACGCGACATAACAGACTAGAAGTACAAAATGTCAAAAAACACACCTTACAGAGACAACACTTCTGGAAAACACCAATACTATTTGTTGAAGTTTTTTTTAGTCTTTACCAAGTGCCACTCTTCTGTTGAATTATTTCCATCCAACTCCAAAAGGTAGAGAGGGTTGTGGTTTGCCATGTAGTCCTGAAAAAATATCAATTAATATACTTTTCATTCTGTGTTTTTCTTTTGTAATTTATTCTTTTAATAACAATAAATATTAATACAGTATATAGTTTGTCTGTAGTTAAATTTCAAAAGCCCTTAAGTACTGCCTTTTGAGTCAAAAAAATCTGGGATGTTCACTGCCTTATGATATAAACATACTGGTTAAGCAAAAACAGCATCTCCCAAGTAAATTCAAATACAAGGTTTAAAGGAATTATGAAATTTTATTCAAGATTTTTTTAAATAACACAACAAACTACATTTTTGGTGTGTCAGTAGTGGGTGACTTTGATGACAGGTCTAGGTCTGGGCAACTCACCTCCAGTGGTCTAAGCATGTTATCCTTGTACATGTTAATTCGAACAAAAGCATTTTTAGCCAAATACTCTGGTGTCCACACCATTCTGTCATTGGTATCCTTTGAGAGTTCCTTTTCCTAAGGAAAAAAAAAATACTAGTATGGAACTCAAAGCTTGGCAGTTTTTTCTTTGCTATGATAACAACTGATCACCTGGGGAATAAAAGGTTAGCTAAAATAAAAACAGCCCCCTAAAAATGCAAAACTGAAATCCAAACATGTACGGAACTAGGAAGGTGCTAAAAATATTAATCGTCTAAGAATTGCTGGATAAAATTCTGATTAGCATTCAACACCCTTAAATCTTACAGTTAAGACTGAAACTAGATCAATAGCTTTATTTCACTAGGCAATAAATACATAGGTAAACATGGCAAAGCTTATAATATTTATGCTCCTACACCAAGACATGAGTACAACTGCTTCTGGGTATTGCTTCTGGTACTTTAGGCTAGTTTGCTCAGCGCTATCATGACAGCAAGGATAGCAAGTCCTATACCTGCAGACTGACATCATTTTCTCTTATTTACTCAAGAAATGCAGTGGCTCTGTCATTCAAATCTGACCAGCTGGGATTGGGGAGGCAGAGGATTTTAAAGGCAGTGATTTCTGTCAGTTTGTTTTGGTTGATACAATGAAATAAGAGGAAAAGCAGCAAAACAGCAGTCATTGGATTATATTTGTTACAAGCATCAAAACAAAAGGAGGGGGAGAACTAAAAGAGCTATGATTATGCATATTACATGATCAAGTGACAACACTTATTTTCCCTTAAGTAATACCTGCTCCTCCACATCCTCCACATCCTCTGCATCCTCTGCATCCTGTTCCTTGCTCTTCTTCTCCTTGTTATACACCTCTTCACGCTGCCACTGATCCCTGTTGTAAAACTGCCCTGTCTCTGGGTCCTGCTTCAGACCAGATAGCCTCTGGACAAGGTCCTTGTCTGGACACTGGTGAAAAGTAAAAGTATTTAATTTATAATCAATTCAGTAAAATCCTGACAGATCTTTTTCATAAATGAACTTAAAGAGATATTAGATTAAAAAATTACGACATTAAACTATGCAAAAGAAAAAAAATCAAATGCAATGGACAACTCCAAATAGAGAATGACAGTAACCTTGATGTTAATGATAATATCAGGCGTTAGCTTGAGGTTTTTGATCAGTTCAATCTGCTCATTAATCTTCAGATGCTCTTCTGACATGAACGGCAGGCAGCTCAGTACATAACCTGTATCAAAAACATGTGAATTACAAAACAGTGCAGAGCTTATCATATTGCTTATCGTCTAACCTATCAGTCATCTTATTTTCATCTGCAAAGAACATTTGGTGACTGAAAAGTTTGTTTTGCATGCATAGCCATAATTAAATGACGTCTTATTTATTACCATAGTGCTCCACATCTGGCGAGTTAAGCCTGGCAAGAATCAGCTTCAGCACCACATTCTCTGGTACACTTCTTCCCTCAGATAAGATGTCCAAAAGCTATATTCAACAGAATGCAACTCAGAGTTTCTAATGACTATAAAAGCATAAAGAAAACACATCACAGGAACAAAGGGCTTCCTTTCAAATGATACAGAAAATTTTACTTACCTCCAGGCCCTCTTTTGTTTCATTTTTTATGTGTGTGTTGAGAAGATTGGTATCTGAAAGATGTGAAAACTCATCTACATACACATCTCGAATTGGTAAAAATATTTTTTTTATGAAAAAGTTTTTTTTTATATGAAGGCATAAAAGGGTACTCACCATCAATAAGGATACACCTCCAGGACTCTGCAATTTTTTTGGCCAAGGTGGATTTGCCAACACCCTGCCAAGAAGTGGAATATAGAGGAATTGAAGCATTAGAAAAAAATATTTGCTAGTGTTTGGGTATGCACTTGTTGAGCTTTGGTGGGGACTCTCTGCATGATTTTGTTTGTGATTGTGGAGTGCAGCTTAAGACATGGAAAATTCTATAGTAGTTGTGTCCAGGAATTTTAAGTATAGCCTAAACATTTTACACTTGATGATCTACTAAACGTCATAATGTGTTTTATAACTGCATGGCATTCATGGTCTTTCCTCTTTGTTTATATATACATATCTGATTCACTGACAGATAGTACTGTGCATACTGTCTTTTGGACTTAAACACAACTACAAAGGTATATACGTAACCTAGCTAAATTTCACTTTATATTCACTTATATATATATATAGATTACCGGTCTTCCAACGATGATAAAGCAGGTGGGCTTAGCAAGAAGTCTCTCTCTTTCGGCTTCATCTTCAATTAAGTTGTCTACTAAAGTAGCCATTCAAACTTTGTGAACACAGAAATTATAAAAGTCAAATAATCATTCAAGCAATCAGTTTTATAGCTTGAATGTGTAGTTTACATAATCTGACAAATATGTAAAATATTATTATTATCATATTTTACTTCAATGTTACTTACAGTTACCTTTGCGAGTGTCTGTATTTTCTTTTATCTGCTAATACCCTTTTTAGCGCAGTTGTTCACTAGCGTTACAATAACCTAGCTATCCATATACGGTTACCATGACAACTTGCAAACTAAAGGGCTGGCTGAAGGTTTCTTAATACCTAGTTAATGCTACCTTTAGAGTTTGAGGGTTGAAATAGCGTTTATAAATTAATTAATTGAATTATTTATTTATCATACTCAAGAGCAGTTATAAACGTTTAAAGCCGCTGCAAATTCAAATGCAAAGATAGTAAACCCATGTATCAATCGCATTTTCAGTCCTTCGAGCTTTTTGACTTTGCGAGGCACCGTACGACCCGACAAGCGAAGTCATTCATGACAGTCACCTGACTAAAACAAATTCAACTCCAACATGCTAACGGGATACACTGGGCAGAGTACAGATGCATTTTAACTGTTGTTAAGTGAAGCGTTTACAGTATTTGTTGCGACTGCATGGGGAGATGTATATTGTCATCAATGAAGACCATTTGTGGTTAATCATACAAGCTAAGTGGATGAATGGTGAGTGATGCTAGCTAGGAAGTACTGAGGGAAAAAAGTAAGCTATATACATGAACACATTTGTTAAATATGCTGGCTCGTCATTTTGTGTCTTATAATGTGAAGAAATGAATGTAACAACATTCATTTCTTTTCACTTTCGCTTTGTAGCTCCTCTGTAGCCTCTTCCAGACTGACTGTTGAACAATTCAAGAATAGAAAATGCCTCAATCAGCGGCTATCATCGGTGGGATCCAGCGACTGGTTCTGTACGAGACCAGAGCAGTAAGTCTTTACATGAGCTCTTAATGTCACCATTTCTTCATAAAGTCCAATTCACCTGGGCAGTTTACAACTACACGCGATGACAGTTCTTTAAACTGCGCCGTTTCTCCATTTTGCTAAGCTTCCTTAAGGAGTTTTCAGGAATAGTACATTCAAAACTCTTTAGATGGTGGTTGTTTTTTGTTGTGTCGTGTTGTTGTGCTGTGCACGCCGCTTCAGTAGTGTTGAGGTCCGGTCTTTTTGACGAGGCCTATTTATGACTGATGGTGTTCAGTTGTGTGTGTTTTCTATCTAGGGTCAAGTGAGTGTGTCAGGTGTTTGTGGGATTTTTTTCCCCCTGTTTCTTAAGGACGCGACTTTCAGATATAGTCTTCTGCTGTAGATATTTTTTAGGTCTGTCAGTTCTTCTTTTGTTCAGTTTCCTCAATTATTTTAAGCCACACTGCACAGCTCTTTAGCAATCATGTTGTTTGTGCAAAAATAGCTTGACTGGAATAAAATACTATCTTATATTTTGCATTTTTTCAAGGTTTGGTTAAAGAAATTGAAATAAATTGTGTGTTTTGTGACAGAATGCAACAGTATTGATGTGCCTAAAGATACAATTTAAAATGGGCTCTTTACTAAGTTGTCTGTTATATGTAAATAATTCATTCCTTGAGTTAAGTGCTTTTTCTATGCTTGAATGATTCATAGGTCAAGTGGCTTAACAGACAAAAAAAATCTCCAGAAAATAGACTGAAAATGAGTGAAAAAGCAGCTGATGTCTAGAGAAGAACTTTAATTTGTACATTAAAACCTGGAGAACTATTGCTCAAGAAGATTTTTAAAAATTACATGTTTTCATCTGCTTAGAAGGAAAACAAATAAGGGGTGGCTGAAGACTTTCAGACAAGACCATACTTAAGACATATGTGCTTAATGGGGAAATGCTCAAAGGTTCATAAAATGATATTGCTCAATTTTTGTGTACATAAATGTCACAAACTTGATATATATTCAGGACAATCACTGTCTTTGAAGTACCATGATAACGACACTGTGGCACAACTGTTCATTTAAGACAGCCAAAACCTATTACCTATTACCTTTTTTTAAAAATTTTTTTTATTAAAGTGCTCTCTAGTCTTTGGTTCAAGAGTTCTATAGTTGATCTGGGAAAATGTTTGGGACACTAGTGTACACGCTACATGTACACTAGATGGCAGCAAAAGCTGCAGGTGACTATATGAAACCTCAGGACCTGACATCCATGAGGTCAGTAAAGAGCATGTGTGTGATAATTATCTGGGCATTTAATTGGTGAATTAGATTTTGGCAGTTAAAATTAGTTTTCTTTAGCTTTTTTTTTTTTTTTTTTTTTAAATATTAGATGTATGTCCTTGAGAGGTAGAGTGTCTATGCTACTTTCTTTGCTGCGTATTCTAATAGTATCATGTTTTCAATTGTCGCTGCATTTCACCAGCTGTGGTCATGCTTGGTTTAAATGTGTGCTTAAACTGGGTTTCGGTTTGCTGTTCCCATTTGCTACAAATATTTAGACACTAAGGCAAGTAAACATTTGTCTTATTTGATTTATAATTTCTTATTGAACCTCTGCTGAACAGTGCACGTGCAGGCTTTCTGTTACAGACAAAGAGGGTTAAATTAGATACTGGAAAAGGTGGAACAGGAAAAAAAAATGCTTTAATGGTTGCTGAGTGTGCTGATACAGGATGTTCCAATTTAACACTCTTTAGTGGACTGAAATTTTTGGGCCATTTTGCAACCCTGAATGAGAAGAGTAATGACCTAAAAGAAAGAAAGAAAGATGCAAGGAAGACACACATCTTGACAAAAAGAACATTGTAAAAATGTAACTTGTGATGAAATATGTGCTGTGCCTGCATGTGCTCTGCACTGTATGCACTCTTATTTCAATCTGTGTTTTTAAGATATCGCCTTTAGTTGAATACATACTTGAGTGTAATTTCACAAATTTCAGACACACTGATTCTTACTCGGACTGTGGAAATAAAATGTTTTATTATAGGAAAAAAAGAAATTCAAGTTTGACTTCAACAGTGGTGCTGCAATGCAGGAATCTGACTTGTCATTGGATTGATTCTATGTCTATTAAATACATATCTGCTCTTGGTTGAAGTCTGAATTGGTCCCAAGTCAACATCATCCAGGACAAAGCTGCAGTCCACAAAGTTAGAAGACTGTATGCAAGATTCCCTCTATGCATTTATCACCACATGCAGCTGTGAAAGGTTAAGGTTGCAAAGACTCTTCTGATAATAGGCTCCAAATGCATTGCAGCACTCACTTGACTTGTCATTTTATTTTCAGAGGTATTTTTTGGTTGGGAGCAATCATGCACAGACCAAACATCGAGTCCTAAAGATTGACCGCACAGAACCCAAGGACCTCGTTATAATTGACGATAAGGTAAGTGACGACTTTCCACGAGTTAAATTTTAATGTATATTCTTATGTAATACACAAGAAACATGCCTAAGGGGGAAATTGTGCAATCACTCAGCTGATGTGAAGTGTGCTGCTGATGAGAGTTTGGCTGCGTTCACACCCTTTTCTTATTACCAGGATCTATGAGCTGGTTTTTGATTTGTTTGTTTGTGTTGTGGGTAATTATCCTTCTGATGCAATTATTATGAAGCATCCATTAATAAATATTCATCACCCAACAGTCTCATTCCAAAAGATATTAAAATGACATCAGAAAACTGTGTGTTTTCAATTTTATTGGCATTGTGTAGTATTGTACTTGGATGCATGGATAATTTAATGAGTTGCTAGGGAGGTTTTAAAGCTAGAAATACTCCCTCATCTTTTAGTTTTTACATAAGAAGTGAAGACAGTGGAATAAAAGACTTTGATAGAAGTCCTAAATTAATTTTTTCCCCACAAGATAACAGAATGAGAATTATTGCAATCTATAGAATCATGCACTTAAAACAAATGCAGTAGCATACAGCACACAGTACATTACTACGTTTCTCTTTGGGGTCTGTGCCAATTGTAAAGCTTATTATGTAAATGAGATGGGGTTTTTTTTGTAGATGAAATGCACGCAAAGCTACTCTTTAGTCATTTAACATTTCAGAACCAATGCAGAAAGCAGCCGATCTATTTTCAGACTAATTGCCTCACTGGCAGTCAATCTAATCCCTTTTGTAGAAATTTTGGGCATTGATTAAACAGGGACTGTTATTCATTTACCTGCTATTGCACAGAAAATAAAGAAGTCTTAATAGTTCTGACTGAAGCCATTAGTCACCCGCAAGCAGCACATTTAAGTCACTTTTGTCACAACACAGCTTTATATATTTTAGTGTTGATTTTTAGATGGAAATCAGATAGGATTATGTGGCTAATTAATAAACTAAACTTTATAAACACTTCATCTAATGTGTATTTAATACCGTACATGCATGCATGTGTGTGTTTCCAGCATGTGTATAACCAGCAAGAGGTAAGGGAGTTGCTGGGCCGCCTGGACCTGGGCAACCGGACTAAGATTAGTCAGAAGGGTTCCTCTGGCCTGTCCAGGACTGTCTCAGCTTTTGGCATTGTGGGTGAGTACATTTCCTCCACTCAATGGCAAAGCAACAGTCATTGCAGTTCAGAATAATGTGAGAATCTACCTCATCTCCAAAGTCTGCAGTTGGGTGTGTTGGCCTAGTTTTTCCATTATTACTGCAAAATAAAAGAACACCTGGGAGTCTTTTGCAAACCACTGTAATAGTTCACAGCTTTTTCACGTGTTTTCTGCCATTATGTTTTTTAACATGTGTAACACGTTGTACAAAAAGATCCGGCCCCCAAATGTTATTAATTTGCAATTTTTTCAATAGTGGCTATGTTTAAAAAGATAAAATAGAATTATGCAACACTTGATTGTGTTACCGACCACTACTAACTCTTTAACACCTTTATGAATGTTTAATTGGGTACAAAAATGAAAAACCACAGAAAGAAGGTCCTGAGCTTAATTCCACCATCAGGCCGTGGTCTTTCTGTGTGGAGTTTGCATGTTCTCCCCGTGTTTGCGTGGGTTCTCCCCGTGTTTGCGTGGGTTCTCCCCGTGTTTGCGTGGGTTCTCCCCGTGTTTGCGTGGGTTCTCCCCGTGTTTGCGTGGGTTCTCCCCAGGTACTCTGGCTTCCTCCCACAGTGCAAAAACATGCAGTAGTAGGTTAATTGGTCAATCTAAATTGCCCATAGGTGTGAATCTGTGAGTGCGAATGGTTGTCTGTGTCTCTGTGTGTTGGCCCTGCGACAGACTGGCGACCTGTCCAGGGTGTACCCCGCCTCTCGCCCTATGACAGCTGGGATAGGCTCCAGCACCCCCCGCAACCCTGGAAAGGATAAGCGGAAGCGAATGGATGGATGGTTGGATGGATATTTTACTTCAGCTATCTGAGACAGTAAAAGCACATCTGTGTTTTGTACGTTGCCCTAAAGACCTGATTACAATCCTAAACTGACTTTTTTTCCCTTATAAGCAGTTTTTTATTTTTAATTTTTGTTCCAAATAAACTACCTAGTGAGCTAGCTATCGATCATCATTTTTCACCTCAAATACCATCATATCATTGTACCCATAATGACAAAGTAAAATAAGTTTGTTTGAAACTCTTGCAATTGGGGAAAAAAAATAAAATAAAACAAAAAGCAAAAATATAGAATGCATATAAATATTCACTCTTTGCCATCACAATCATCATGTTTTCCCTGATCATCTGTCAGATGTTTCTACATTTTGATTGGAGTCCACTTAAATTCAATTAACTGGACATTATTTAGAAAGTCACACACCTGTCTATATAAGGTCCAAATGGCTGACAATGTCAGAGCACAAAACAAGCCACAAGGTCCAAGAAATTGTCTGACATCTGAGTCAAGAGTTTATCGAGGCACAGACCTGGGGAAGTGTACAGAAACATTGCTGCAGCATTGAAGGTCCCAGTGAGCACCGTGCCCTCCATCATTATATATGGAAGAGGTTTGGAGGACTCTTCCTAGAGCTTACTGCCCGGCCAGTCTGAGTGATCAGGGTAAAACGGCCTTACTCAAGGAGGTCATCAAGAACCTGATGGTCACTCTGACAGAGCTCCAGCATTTCTCTGTGGAGAGAGGAGAACCTTCCAGAAAGACAGTCAGACCAGTCAGATCTGTGTGGTTGAGTGGCTAGACAGAAGCCACTCTTCAGTGAAAGACACATGACAGCCCACCTGGATTTTGCCAAATGGCACTTGAAGAACTCTCAGACTGTGAGAAACAAAATTATGTAGTCCAATGAAACAAAGATTGAGCGTCATGTCTGGAGGAAACCAGGCACCACTCATCACCTGCCCAATACCATCCCTACAGTTAGCCATGGTGGTGCTGTGGGGGTGTTTTGCTGCAGTCAGGGTGGAGGGAAAGATGAACAAGAGATCTGAAAATGACTGTGCATTGATGCTCAACCTGGACCGTGAGAGGTTCTGCAAAGAAGAATGGGAGAAACAACCCAAACATAAGTGTGCTAAACTTGTAGCATCATATTCAAAAAGACTTGAGGGTATAATTGCTGCCAACTTCAACAAAGTAGTTCTGTGGACATTTCCACAGCAGGTTAGTCGGTCACCCTGACACAGACAGTTGTTTGTCGTCTGCTTGAATAATATAGATACTCCGCCAACCCCCAACCCCAGTGACATCTTTGTTCACAAGCCATCATTTTGCTATTATGTAATAAAAGTGTGATGTAGCCATGTAGGGTACAAGGTGTATTCTAAGAGGCCTTTTGCCCGGTAGCTTTCTTATTACAGTACAAAATGAATATGATTAGCGTAAGTATATTTTTATTCGCAGGTTTTGTCAGTCTGACCCATCTCCTCCAGGAAGAAGGACAGTACCGGTATACTCATACAGGAACTCATAAGTGTTATTTAATCTTACACAGGGTTATTGCTTCTCAGTCATCATGCAGAAAAAAAATACAAAAACCTTTGATAATGTAGACACACTAGCACACCATTACTTTGAATTTGTCACGTGAATGTTCATGAGTGAAACAGAACTTCTTATTTCAAAGGTTTTACCTGATTAGTTTATGAAACGGAATATTTTTGGTTAACTTCAACTGCAGCGTTTTGCAGATTAAGTACAAGCCACTTCAAAGTATAACTTTAAGAGTCCTTAGTGTGTGTGTGTGTGTGTATATGTGTAGTATGTATGTTGCACTTACCAATTCAACACATTTTCTTTTTCACTCAACTTGGATGTCAGGCCACTTTCTAGTTTGAAGTAACAAATTATTAAAGTGAGCTAAAGTTAATTAACTTGTGACAAATTCACTAACTAATCATATAACTAATTACATACCACTACTTAGGCGGCATCATTTGCCATTGTTGGTTATCATTTGTCATTGATCAGTTATTTTAGATTTTAGCTCAGGTTGTGTTTGTCTTCAAGTGAGAAGAAATCTGTTACACTACAAGTGAAGTGGGAAACTGTTCAGTGGGATTCTCAATATACAGTGGCTTGCCCCCTTGAACTTTTCCACATTTTGTCACATTACAGCCACAAACATGAATCACTTTTATTGGAATTCCACATTGTCTTGAACAGTGCTCCGTGGGATGTTCAAGTCTTGGGAAATCTTTTAGTAGCCCAAGCCTGCTTTAAATTTCTCAATAACTTTATCCCTGACCTGTCTGGTGTCTAAATCTAATCGAGAATCTGTGGCAAGATCTGAAAACTGCTGTTCACAAACGCTGTCCATCTAATCTGACTGAGCTGGAGCTGTTTTGCAAAGAAGAATGGGCAAGGATTTCAGTCTCTAGATGTGCAAAGCTAGTAGAGACACACCCTAAAAGACTGGCAGCTGTAATTGCAGCAAAAGGTGGTTCTACAAAGTATTGACTCAGGGGGCCGAATAATTACGCACACCCCACATTTCAGATATTTATTTGTAAAAAAGGTTTGGAATCATGTATGATTTTTCTTTCCACTTCTCACCTGTACACCACTTTGTGTTGGTCTTTCACGTGGAATTCCAATAAAATTGATTCATGTTTGTGGCTGTAATGTGACAAAATGTGGAAAAGTTCAAGGGGCCCGAATACTTTAGCAAGCCACTGTAAGAACTGTATAAACTGAAAAAAATGAATTGATATCCAATTAAGTTAAATAACACTAATTAATCAAAATATTTACATAGTGAAATTATGACTTTATGCATCACAATGTCATATACAAATAAATATATATCTTTGACTGCTATCAGTGCTATTGAGCCATATTTTCCTTTATCAGTTTTACTCTTTGTAAATATGTGGAATAAGAGTAGGAATTTGTATAAGATGTTTGATTTTAGCAGGGCAGCAGCCGGTGTTGTTTATACCTGAAAATATTTTTTAGCTTTCCTGTCTTCTCGCCACTGTTCTAGCTACATAAAGCTACTAAAAATATTAAAAATGTATCTTTAAAGCTACAGGTTAGGTGGAAGATGGTGTCTCTTGTTTTTGAAAAATCCTTCTGAAACCGCAGGAGACATTATACAACTGTTCTTGAGGGCTGAGTAGCACTCTTGGCCGTGTGTCTGTATTGTGATCCTCAATTCATCCATTAACAAATTAGTTCTAGTAATAGTTTTATAATGAAGGGGAGGTATATTTCTAGCAGACACACTTACATAAACTGTGTTTATCTTTGTAAGATATTATTAAAAACATACAGACATTGTCTGCATTATTTTCGAAATGTCACAGATGGAAAAATAGCTCGTATGATGCTGAAAGCAAATCATTGACTGTGTTTGCATGATGTTTTCTGGGTCAAAATTTCAAAGCGTAAATGGAGCAAATTACATGGTTAATATTGTCAAATATGACACACATACATTCACTATCCACCTCCGCAAGTGGAGCTATTCACTTGTTTGTCCTGTCAAAACTGTAGCGGATTTGCTGGCAACAATAAAGTTGACCTACAAATCAACTTGTTTTGAGCCACACTACATGTTGCTGGAAAGGAAATTCCATTTGATGAGATTGTTGTAAAAGATTTAAAACTTGTCTTCTTTTTGCCAGGATTTGTGCGTTTCCTAGAGGGGTACTACATCGTGTTGATCACGAAGCGCAGAAAGATGGCTGATATTGGGGGCCACTCCATCTACAAAATTGAAGACACCACTATGATCTACATTCCCAATGACTCAGTCAGAGTTACACACCCCGATGAAGCAAGGTATTGTGTTACTCTGTCTCCCATTTATTACCTTGAGGCCACTCTATTTAAGTACATTACTGTATGATTGTATTAATTTTGAGTATGGAAATTTTCAGAAATAACAAAATATCTTGAAATGCATTTGTAGCAAAAAAAACAACAACAACAACAACAAAACGCTTTCTCTCTT